CAATCCTGACTAACCCTTAGAATCACCTGGGAAGTTTTTTTTAATTCAGATGCTCTAGCCTCGCCCCTGTGCATCTAAGATGGGGCACAAACATTGATATTTTTTAAAGCTCCCCAGGTGACGAATGTACAGCCAGGATTGAGATCCACTGATACAGCTGAAATGGAAGCGAGGCTGTTATAAACTGGCACAGAAGCTGCCTTTTTTCCTCCTCAAACTAGGTAAAAAGAGCATGTCTGTTGACAGTCCCAGCCATTTCTATGTGGAGGCCTTGTATAATTTCCAAACAAGCCAGAAAGTTGTGTCTACCAGAGAATTCCTGTGGGCTATTATTAAAGGGCTTATGGTTAACTGATGGGCTGAATTAATGGTGAGCATTAAGGCAGATTGAACCTCAAAATTCGGGCAGATTAACAAAGTGACCAATGTGGAGGTACAGATTTCAAGTTTAACTTTGAGTTTCCTATCTCTCACAAGACAAGCACTGGTGGTAATAAAAAGGATGCTTTCTTTCCTTTACCAGTCAAATGTGCATGGACCAGCCCTTTTAAAAACTTGGGTCTATCCAGATAGACATAGGGGGAGAGCTATAATTAACTTGAGTAAGCGAAGTAATAAACAGCAGCCTGAAAAACAACTTCTAGAAATCTAAGAGGGACCTAGGGTCTGTCCTTAAACTACCCCTTCCTTTATTAATCCCCTGCACAAGGAAACCCCTAGAAATTTTATCAATAGTTCTTTCCTCTCCCTATATTGGATTACGTGTACATATGTGTGAGAGAGTCCCATTAAGGAAACACCTAAGAACAAATAAGTTTACTAAAGTGGATGAGTAGAAAGAAATAATTCATTTCATATAAAAATGAGGAGATGAATGTATCGTACAAAGTTACAGTACTAGAGGAAAAAATTAGATGGTGCTCCTTAATAGGGTTGAATGTACAAATTGCATCTGAAGTTTCTATTTCACCAAAGATATATTTGACTGCACCCTACCTGGAGTAAGGAGATATCTAATTACTAATTAACCTTTTGCAGCTAAGCCCTTATATAAATGGATTCATAATCAGAAAACCATTGACTCATTCAAAATCAACTGAAATGTCTCCACGATTTATAGAAGACGAACCCACAATACAGCAAAAAGAAGCAACTGGAGTAGACTTTCTAAAGTCAAGAACTTGCCTTTATTACATTAGAAGGGGAAAGAGGTTCATGTTTTTAATTTTATCCAACACGTGCTTCTTGAGGATCCATCATGGTTTTGACATTGCTGAGAGTAAAAAATAACATAGGACCTCCTCATAATAACTACAAAACACATATTGAATAAGCAGAGAACGCTACACAATATAATAGACATATTATATAAGACAGCAGATAATAAAGTTCTCATTTAAATCTATGCCATTACTGAAGAAGAAATGTGGAATAGAAACAGTGAGTACTGTCAGCAGTTGGAAGGACAGAAAACAAAGCTGGTCAAGAGCCCTAGGGCTCAGTTTCACTCTTTGCTCATTCTAGCAAACTTTTATAAAACAGCGCTCTCATCAGGAGTAAGTACTGGCTGCCCATTACCATCAAATCAAGTCGAACTTCCTCACCCCAGCATCAGATTATTCAGAATTAGACCCATTGATTGTGATTTATCCTGTGTTCCCCCCGCCCCCCAACTCCGCAGTTTATAGTCAATGAGACCAAGCCCCTTCACAGCCCCCTCTGCCCCGGCTCCTTCAGGCCTCAGGGTCCTCTGGCCCCCACCTCCACCTTCCAAACGTTAACCCCCCAGCCATACACATGCTTAGACCTAATTAGTTCCTATTTGTCCATCAGAATCCAGCCCCAGACCTGAAACTTGCTCTGACAGGTCCAAGAAAAGGAAGCAGTGTGTGTCCCTAGAAATGTGCCTGAATCCCAGGATCTTGAAAACATTAAAGATTCTAAAAGAGCTATTTTTTAAAAGGTCCACTTCTGAAAGAGATACAAATACTATTTTTTGTTGGAACCATAGCCAGTAAGAATCCTTCTTGTGAGCTAGTTCAGGGGTGACAGTGGGCAAGGAAAGCCATGTGTACAAATGGAAATTTGGTCTTTTCTGAGGAGAACAGAAAAGTATTCCCTGCTGTTAGAAAAAGATAGCCATGGCGAACTTCTTAAAGCTGACTAACGTACCTACTATCTCTGCCATGTACAGAACAAGGTACCTTCTGTCCCAAGTGGCTGACTGGCCTGAAACAGATAATCTTACCAGCCCAGTGACACCAGTTCAAAGCCTTGGCCATTATCTATTACATATAAAGGCTTTTTACTATAACGTAATTTTAATGAGTTATAAATAAATATTCTAGTTAACATATTTGTCAGCGGAATAATTGGGTATACATGAAAATAAAAATTAGTGGAAAAGGAATTAAAATAAACTTAAAAGTTTGTTTTCTTTAAAATCCTGTTATATAGGAATTATTTTTTAATTTAATTGTTAATTAACACTTAATTTCTCAGTTTTCTTTAAATAAAGGGACACACACACACACACACACAGAGACTGATTTAAAAAATTGTTCCTCCAAGTTAATTAAATCTCATTTAAAGTTCACCCTTAACTGAGAAAAACATCTCTACTTGTTGCTGATATATGTTTAGATGTAAGAACGTTTCCCAGAAGACATAGATTCCTTAGTGTCAAATATGCAAACATAAATAAATATGTTGAGAATAATAGCGTAGAATTTTCTAATTTCAAAATCATGACTTTACATTTTGACATGATTATTGGCTCATTTATAAACAAACCTGTCTTTCAAACGGATTTTTCTAGAGTTCTAGCTTTACTTATTCAAATAAATCAAGCAATGATACTCGCTCTTATTTAGGTCATAAATATTTTTGAGCAAAAATTAACCTCACTCAGAAACCCGTTGATTTACCAAATGATCCAGCCACCAACTACTTTATATGATATATTTAGATTTCCTTTAAATTATATATTTGTATAGACTCCCAAAAGCTAATAGAGAAAGTAATATATTAGTATTCTACCATTACAAAGGACAGGAAAATGACAGAGACAAAAGTGCAGATTTTTATCAATATAGGACAAGGCGGAGTGTTTTGTGACTTTGTTCACTGTTGATTTAACCCATTTAAACAATCTAGCTTTGTTGCAGAGAAGAGATGTGTCCTATCCTCTCTTTTAACTCATTCTCTGTCCCATTGTGGAATGCTAAACAGCAGAAATATACCCATTTGACCCCAAATGTAGTCTTTTATCTTGACCTGGTTGTTTTGATCCAATACAGAGAAGAAAAATCCAGCTAGTTACCCTAATTCTTTTCCAGTGTGCACAGCAGTTGTATGAGTAAATCTGAAGGGCCCAGAGCAGAGTACAGGGAATATATTGTTTGGCGTTCTCCCTCCCTAAGAAATAACAATCCCCACTTAGAGCACAGGGGTGCTGTGAGGGTTAGTCACAATAAATTCCAATTACAGTTCTTTAGAAATATAATACTGTGGCCAAATATTAAGGCTGATAAGAAACACTCAGGCACATCACTCAGGTCCATCTTCCGGGTCCAGAAGGAAGCTGGGAATCATTGTTCGCTTCAAGCCTGTGCTCCTGAGCTAGACTGTTACTGTTGCTGTTGTTTACTGACTGTGTAATAATTTCAAGAAGCAGAGGAAGTAGTTCATTTGGGAACGATAACATACGCATTTGTTCTTTTTCTGTAATTCCACTACTAAGAATTTATCCTAAGAAAATAATCTAAAATACATAAAAGGTTTCTGTACAGAGATGTTTCAGCAGTGTTATTTATAAGAACCAAAAATTTAATGACAATCCACATGCCTAGGAATAGGGAAGAGATGAATTTAATTATCATAGAAGCATATGTTGAAACATCATGCAGCCATTAAACACTACATTTGTGAAAAGTTTTAATGACAAAGAGAACTGTTTTCTTACAATGTTAAGTGAAAAAGAACACAGAATGGTATACATGATATCATGCCAACTATTATATATGTATAATATAAAATATATGCTATGCATGTATCAGGATATGACTAGAAAAAAAACAGGAAATGTTAACAATAGTTGGTGGGCGGGGGATTATACATGATTCTTCCCGTCCTAATATTGTCCTTTTTATTTCCCACTTATTACACGAAGCATTTCTCACATTTTACAAAGCGAACAAGTACACACACACAGGCACGCAACCACTAGAAATGAAGTCAGAAAGCTAATTTTCCAAGTTATCCTACCATTGTAAATTGCATGATGTTAGGAAAATCTCTCATCAATGCTCTATTCATACGCTATGGTAATTTTATCTCATAAGACTATGCTAGAGTTAGCTGATATAATGTATTTTGAAACCATTTTAATTTAAAAATCCCAGGGCTTCCCTGGTGGCGCAGTGGTTGAGAGTCCGCCTGCTAATGCAGGGGACACGGGTTCGTGCCCCGGTCCGGGAAGATCCCACATGCCGCGGAGCGGCTGGGCCCGTGAGCCATGGCCGCTGAGCCTGCGCGTCCGGAGCCTGTGCTCCGCAACGGGAGAGGCCACAACAGTGAGAGGCCCGCGTACCGCAAAAAAAAAAAAAAAAAAATCCCATATGATTATATAACAGTATTTCTTGGAGGTAGAGGAAGAGGGCCTTTCATAGTTTTTGCAGGTCAGCCTGTATAGTGAAGACAGTTTGGCCATCACTCCTTCTGCCACCGGTTGGAATTCTGACCACAATGAAGGAAACTGTGAAGACTGTGGTGAGCCTGGTTCCTGTAGACTAAGTAAAAAACTAATGCAAATTAGTTATCTTAATAAATGAAATGTGTCCATTTATTTATATAATGTGATATACATTTTGCATTATTTTTCAACCTTTCCTTAAAATTGACAGCCATAGCTTTAAAACTTCAAAAAGTGATACTAAAACATTACAATTCTCATTCCTTTTCTATCACTGATTCAAACAGTGGAAAGAAGGAAAGAAGGAAGTAAGGAAGGGAGGGAGAAAGGAAGGAAGGAGAGAAAAAGAAAGAAAGAAATAGAAGGAACTCAGAAATATGGGTCCCAAATCTACTACAAGGGAGGTTGGGAAATATAATTTTCCTATATGCTAAGGAAGAGGAAACAGAATGACCTTTTCTGTGCCGCAGACTCCTAGGTGAAGAGGCAAGTAACGACTCTTCGGAACTAGAAAAATCAAAGGATTTTGGCAACTAAGTTGCCTGGGGGTCAGTCTAGTTTGGGGAGAGAATAGATAGTGTATATCCTGAGAGATATTTCTGGAAACTTTCACAAACCACCAGGTAACATTAAAAAAAAAAAATCACAGAGTTCATAAATCTTTGTTTGCCTTTTGAGGTCAACACTTCAACAGTCTATACCAGGATTTAGGAACTTCTAACCCACAGGGGCAAGGGTAGGCATTGGACCTAATTCCATTCCTAGACCCTGCCCTTCTTTCAATTCACATTCTAGCTTTTTTCTTATCTCCTAAAAGAAATATTTTAGGCTTAGCCAATAATTTGACAAATTTAATAAGATTTGAAGTCAGCTTCTGGTTTGTTAGCTGAATCAAAGAGAGCAAGAAGCTCTAAACGGAAAGTAAGTTCAGAAACACAGCAATGAGAAATGGATTCCAGAACTGGGAGCATAGGAGGTCAGGGTCAGAAGGTTAGGGGGAAACCATCACAGTCCAAGTTCTAGGGCTAGAACAAGGTCAGGCCAGAGAAACAAGTCTGAGAGTCCAGCCCCTGAAGGCCTGGTGAGGTTGCACGTGCGCTCCCAGATTTCCTGCAGGGGAGGTTCATTCACCCAGAATTCTAGTCCATGTCATGTGCTGAATGGACCACTTTCCAGTTGAATTTACATTTTACTCACATCTCAGGCCTAATCACAAACTGGGGTTTGTTTGCTTTACTTTTGCACATGGTTGATGGGGAAAGAAATTCATCCTAATAGTGATTTTTCACTTCTAACAGTAAAAAATAATATATATGTATAGTTTTTACTTTCCTTTTTCTTCTTTATAGCAGAAATGTGTGTACGATTTGCCCTGAATTCCCAAGCCACTCTGTTACAGAGTTGGCTGTACTCAGTGACTCCCAGTATTTCGCCATCTCCCTTTTCGAGTGAATCTTAAACGTGGAGCATCTTTCCTCTCAGAGTAAGACTAACTTGAGGTCACAAAAGGCTCAGTTATCACTATTTCTTTGAAATATTACAGGATCTGAATCATATAGAAAAAGTAATGGAAAATATAATTATCATTTCATAATAGATCCTTTATTATTAGCAGCCTGACCTTGGAATCACTCTTTTGCCTGACTGCAGTATCCCCGTGTCCAAATGTGGATCTTGGCCTTTTGAATAATATTCTCCTTTTTTACCCGAACTTGTCTATCTTGGCTAACCAGAGGCTTACTGTGGACGGCTCAGAGTTGGGAAGCATTAAGGTGTGTGTATATTTCTAAGTGCCCGAACTAACATGGGACAAGCCGTATGGACAGTGGCTAACTTGGTGAAATAGCCTCAGTTAGGTCTTCATCTCTGATGTTATCCAGGGTTGTTGGGCTTGGATTCATAGGCTGTGTAGGCATCTGTTGTTAGATTCTTGTTTTTAAAAAAAAGGAAAAGAAGAAGAAGAGGAAGAAGTTTAAGAGTGTAGCTTTTATTGGATTGGGGGAATTGAAGTTTTTAGGAAATGATAATGGTTTAGAATATGGTTTATGCGTCTCCCTTGGTTAAGACTTTAGTGTCTTTGTTCTGTGTGTGCCTGTCTCATGAGATGGCAAATCCAATTCCAAGCCAATAACATATCTGTGACAATTGAAGAAAAAACTAAACTAAGAAAAGCACTCAAGCGACCCCTTCACGTCCCTGATTTACCAGCTTCTCCCTCAACTCAGTACCTTCCACTGGGGCCCACTCCCTTCCCAGCCCACGGCCCACAGTCACCTTCCCACCTTCTCTTGGCTCAGGAGGAGCCACTGTGAACAAAATGAGGCCTTCGGGGCTCACTTTTGCCTGTGACTCTCTTTGCACTCTTCTGGTCTGGTTTCGGCCCCACGCACTGTGAACTGTGGCTCCTTCTAGAGAATGGGAGAAATCAAGACTCCTTCAGGGACAGACATGCAGACTTAACCTAGAGAGATGCAACCAGACTGGCTTACGTAACTGCTTACTTTGACCTAACTTACTCATTTTATGAATGTGTCTGTTCACAGATGGTTTCAGAGTTGTGATATGGAAAAGTTAAGGAGTGAGGAATACGTGTTTCATGTCTTCTCCCCTTTCTTGTGGGTGCTTACGGAGCCACCTTTCAACCATACTGTGGCTTTTCAGCAATTCCGTCATTTTAGCTAGGAACTGAAGAAGGGAAGTGTGAAAGTCTATATGCAGAAAGAGCTAGTTAGACATATAAGAAAAAGAAGGTTATAATTCCTTTGGTTAAAGAGAATGCTCTGACCAAAAAAACTCTAATGTGAAAGTAATTTTCTCCATTTTAATTAGTAGCCAGCTAACATCTGTATCCCGGCATGATCTTTTTTCTAACATTATCTTCACTATGGCGAGTGAAATTAGCCCCATTCTACAGTTAGAAAAATGGAGACACAGAGCATTCAAGGATTTCATCCAGTATAACAAAAGAGCCAGACAAAAGCTAATGACTTACAGATGTAGGATAGTTTTCAAAGAAGAAGCACAAATCATGTTATCTTTGATGTAACATGTGTAGAACTAACAAAATGCCTGCCTTTGAGACTTACAATAGTCAGAGGGGAAAAAAATCTTTTTCATCTTTTTTATTTTAAAATTCCTCTGTGTATGTAGTCATCTCTAAGACAAAGCCAAGGTGTTTTTTATGAATAAAAAATTTAACTAAATAAATTATGCAACAAGTTAAATTAAAATTTCCTTGTAATAAATCTTAAAAGTTTCGTTCACTCTCTTCTTTTATGGGAGAAAAACACAAGGCATGATGACAATGACCAAGACTAAAGCCTTTGTCTTTCTTCCCAAATCCAGTAGAGAGAAAGAGTTGTTGCATTGGAGAAGTCACAGCAGTTCTTATCTAGTGAGTCAGACTTACTGTGTGCCAGGTACAGAGGTCTCTGCCTTCAAGTGGTTTTCAGATCAGAGGTTATAGGTAAGATAAGCGTGCTCTTAGGGGTGAACATGGACGGCCGTCCATGTTGGGGAGCATATGGGAGGCCATCAAACTTGGTCTAAGGATCAGGATACAATTTGTGGAAGAGGTGAGGACCAAACTAACTAAAATATGTGTAGGAATGAGCCTGGTGAAGGAGTGTGGGTAATGTTCCAGAAAGGTGGAACAGGATGTGAGAAGACCTAGAGATGAGAGAGCTGGCAGCATATTGGTTAGAATCCAGAGAAATCCAGTGTGACAGGCGTGGTGGGGAGCAGTAATAACTTACCTGTTAGAGTCTCCCTTTTGCACTTTTTGAATACATTAAATTTATGAACACTCAGTAGAGTGCTAGTTAAATAGATAAGACTAATTTTAACTGCTGACACACCATACAAACTTGTGAATAAAAAGAAAAACTAGATATGGATCTGGACAAAGACTTTGAATATTTTCCTTAAATGATAGGTTTTCTCTGAGCTTCCTATCATAAACTGGGTTCAAACTCAAGTCCTATAGGACTGGCATTTATGTCATTAATGTCGAATCCCAAAAATTTCAAAGGAATTTTTTTAAAATAAATTTTATTTATTTATTTATGGCTGCATTGGGTGTTTGTTGCTGTGCCTGGGTTTTCTCTAGTTGCGGCGAGCAGGGGCTACTCTTTGTTACGGTACACGGGCTTCTCACTGCGGTGGCTTCTCTTGTTGCGGAACACGGGTTCTAGGGGTGTAGGCTTCAGTAGTTGTGGCACGTGGGCTCAGTAGCTGTGGCTCACGGGCTCTAGAGCGCAGGCTCAGTGGTTGTGGCGCACAGGCTTAAGTTGCTCCGCGACATGTGGGATCTTCCTGGACCACAGCTCAAACCCGTGTCCCCTACGCCACCAGGGAAGCCCAGGATTTTTTCTTAAAAGCTCTGACATTTGCTTTCTATCTTGTCCAGTTAAATTTTATAAAAATATTTGAGATTATTTTCTTGATTTTGGACAAACTACATATTCATTTTAGGAAACTTGGAATATAGAGGAAACCTATATAGAAGAAAATAAAATTACCTACAACACCACCAATGCTGATAACCATCGTCAGTATTAATTTGCATAGAATATTCATTATATTATTTTCTCAGGTTTTCTATAGAAATATTTCATAATAAGTTTTTTAGCAATTTAAAATGTTAGCAATGTAATATATATTCCATTTATTTTTAAACCAATTTTAATTACATAATTTACAAGTACATTCTTATTTTGCAGTTTTTTGTAGAACTATATCTAGTGTGTAACTTTCAGCCCAGTTGAAAATAATTCGTAAGCTATAAAGCTGTTGTATTTCAAAGAGCCTTGGGCTCACGCCGGCCTCTATTCATTAGTTTTAAGACACCACTGTGAAATGACGTAGGTGGCAAGTATTATTATCACTGTATTGCAGATGGGGTATCCAAAGCAGACAGCAATTGCATAACCAAGGCAAAGCTAGAAATATACTGGGGTTATTGTGAAAGTAGGTAGAATATAAATTATAGGTGAAATTAAAAGTTGGTGATTTATATTTCTATTCAAAAGCCTCATCTCTTTGAAATGATAATGCATAAATCATACCGGCCCTCTGTTACTTTTCCATGAATTAAGAAACAAATCTGACCTTGGGGAGTCTACATGGGTATCAATGGAAAGTTAAGCCAGTTGCATATGAAGAGTTACTGCCAGACTCTTGCCTGAAAGCTTAAATGGTGTGTTAGAGCTACAGGGAATGCTAAAAGATTACGTTGAATATGTATGATGAAGTTAAAATACACATAGGTGTGCCCATGTGCAAACATACAGCTACACACACAGAATTTTAAGACCAAAAGTAGCACCAGGGCCCAATTCCACGATATTTTTATTAGTAATCTTTACTTGGGCACAATTTCACTTGAAGCTAGTGGGATTTTTTTTCCTGAGTTAAGCCTGCAGAATCAAGTCTGTTGGGAGTCAGCAAACCACAACAGACGTCATCAGATCTCTGGTGCTTCAGGATATACATACTGATCACTGCAGGGGTTGGGGAAGATTTTTTTTTTTTTTTTTTTTTTTGCTTGCGCAGGCTTGCACAGTTGTCAGAGGATATAACCCTTGCCTTTCTTTGAAGTGTGAGTTATCAAAAACTAAATAAACCAGATGGAGCTGTTTTCTGACTCAAGGTGACAGAGCAGACCAATGCCTGAACGCTATTTCTTTTTAAAGATGGAAATAGAATTACAAATTTACTACATTGAATTTGCATCTTCCTTTGAAAAGGTGGAGCCCCCAAAAGAAATTTTTCTCAAGTGCCTTTTCTCCTGAGAATAAGTAATAAAATTGAAAATAAGAGAAAGGTAGGATGATTGACCACACGGTACAGGAAATTAGCAAGAGAATGAGGGGGAAATTGCCAACTATGACAGTGACAAACACTGAGTCGGTGGCGTTCAGATAACCCCTATTCTCCTTGTGACCAGATAAATATACATTCTTGATTCCCGGATATTTTCCATACTTGGTGCAATACTTGAAAAACTTTTTGACCAGGTTTTTGGCATTTTCATCTTTTCTGGGAATACTTCTAAGTGACCTAGGGGAAATTTTCTAAACCAGAGAACAGTTTTGGCAGCAAAAGCAAGCCTCAGTATGTATTATGATTGAAACAAAGTAATTTAGCCTTTTACTCATGCAAGGATCTATGAGAACATCTATGTTAAGCAGAATAAAATGAATTTGATCTCTATTTTTAATATGTGGACAGATGCTTTACATTTTATTATTTTAACTCCATAAGAGAAAATGTGATGATTTGCCAAAAAACAAGAAGAAATTAACTAGATTATTAATGTCAGTGTTGTAATTTACTCTTACAGAATTAAGTTCTCAATTGTACTGTATGTGTTCTGTTTATATGGCTGCTTTCTCTGTTATCATGTAAAAGAAAATATAAAACAACCTCTCTGGGCCTTTACTTTTCTCATCTGTACAATGGAGATAATAGGTCCCATTTCAAAGAGCTGTGGAGATGATTAGATGATACAATATAAGTAAAATTTCTAACCTGGTGAATGTACACAGTAGATTCTTTCTGATGCATTCCTTACTATCTTCTTGTTATTTTCTATGGCATTTGAAAAAAGTGTGTGAGGATTTCAGTGGATTAATTGTGTTAAGTCCAACTGGTAAGGGCACAAAGCCAGTTATGTCTAAAGGAGCTACCATTTATGAGTGCTAACTGCATACCTGGCACATAATAAATGCTCTATAAATGTTAGCTATTATCATACCACACACCTCGTTTTATCCTCACAATAACTCAGAAGAGTGTTTATTTTCATTCTCATTTTCCAGTCGATGAAACTAAGGCTTGGGAGGTAAAGTAACTGCCCAATGTCATACAGCAGGATTATAACAGAGCCAGAATTTCAACTGAGATCCTTTCCAGAGCTCCTGGCCTTACCCTGCACATGCCACACCTACTGAAGTATATGAAGTATTGGTCAGGCAGGCCTTGGGTGAATTCAATCATCTGGAACAGAACAGGGAAATCAGAAGTAAACCAAAATAAAATAAAAGACAAGGTAGCTGGCATTCTCACCTGTGCGTTCTAAGAGAAAGTCCCAGTAGCTATCTCTAAGCCTACTTATTCACAAGCATAATGCGCTTCAAGGATACTTAACCAGCTTGGTTATCTCGTCTCACAGCCTCTAGAAGATTTTTTTTTTAATTGAGGTATAATTGATATATGACATTCCACTCAGGTGTACAACATAATGATTCAATATTTGTATACAGTGAAAATTATCACCACAATGTTTAGTTAACATTTGTCACCATAAAATGTTAAAGGTTGTTTTTCTTATAATGAGAGCAACATTTAAATTTGCAATACAATATCATTGACTATAGTAACCATAGTGTACATTACATCCCTATGACATATTTATTTTATAATGAGGAGTTTATATCTCTAGATCTCCTTCACCTCTAAAAGATTTGAAGCAACAGAAGGTAGGGACAGGTTTCTACAGCCAATTGCCTTGAAAGCAAGAAAAATGACTTCCAAAATCCTGCCAAATGCTGACCCAAAATTTTTAAAAACCATAGTAGCCTGGATCCATTTAGCATAGGAGTCCTTGAAGTAATTGTCATAATAAAGTCATTTAAACTGTTAAATTGTTAGAAGAGAAATGTGTTACACAGTTCATATAAAAAACAAATTCCATCCAAATATTATTCTTTTTGGGTCAGGGACTTAAATAAGAAGTATCAGCAGGAAAAAAAAAATCACTTAAATACACTTCCTCTGCTGGTAGTATTAGCTAACTAAAGGATTTTGACAAAATTAATTTTTTCATTATTAATCCTGAAAATTTGACCACATAAGCTAATTTCTGGCTTGCGGGACTTTATTTCACTATGTATATTTTTTTGAATTGGTTGATCAAAGTTGTACCAAAGGCAATTCTTATATCAGGCAGTATTCAAACATTCACTGACTAGCATGGGAAATGGGTTCTTGCACCATTTAAGAAGGAATTGGCAACTTTTATCATAAAGTACGGTCAGGAAGAAAATGAGCACATTGTCTGGAAACAAGGAAACTCCTAAGAATTTTTACCTTGAGCATTTTTTTTTAACATCTTTATTGGGGTATAATTGCTTTACAATGGTGTGTTAGTTTCTGCTTTATAACACAGTGAATCAGTTATACATATACATATGTTCCCATATCTCTTCCCTCTTGAGTCTCCCTCCCTCCCACCTACCTTGAGCATTTTTGACTGAACAGGTTCTTTCAACAATCTTTGACAACATTAGCTGACAGCCCTGAGAAGTTAGGGACTATGATGTCTGTGGATAAGGTAACCAGGGAAAATTTCAGTTAATTAAAATTTTGTTAATTATTAAATAGTAACAGGATTTTTTAAAGCATAGTTGTCTTCTGACTTTTATCTGTAGCTTTTCATGCGTTTGGGAACAAATCATTTGATCCCCAGAAGAATTCCAATCCCAGTATGATGGGCAGACATAATATATTCAGCCCCAGAATGCAGATTACTGAATCCAGCATAAATCAGCAAGACACACCTCCCCCCACCCAACCAGAGTCCTTGAAAAACTAATAAATGAGGACCGGACAAAACATCACCTGAGAGATGGACTGATTTTCCTTTCACCTGTCTCTTTGTTTAGAGCATTACTCCAACACGTTCCCTGTTTAGTCTCAGACTCCTATTATATATCCCAATTTCCTGGTAGCTCCAGGCTGATTAGATCAATAGGTGATCACTCTGGGACTACATTCTTCCCCTGAAGACTTTTGGTCCTTATCCTAGGTGGTCTTAGACAGACATGGAAAAATCATACAGTGGACTTAGCACCTGAGCATTATGGCCAACCTGACTAAATGTGATCAGCCCCTCAGCATCATGAACAATCCTGATCCCAACCCAGTCAAGAAAAAGGAGGCCAACACTTAGCATGTATCTGGACCATCATGACATTTAAAGTCAAATGGAAACCTTTGAACCCTTTAAGCAACGAAGAGAACACGGCGCCCCCTCATCTAAGTAATTCAAAACAAAACAATAAAGAAATCTTCATCTCCTTAAAGAAGTCCAGCAGGGCTTCCCTGGTGGCGCAGTGGTTGAGAGTCCGCCTGCCGATGCAGGGGACACGGGTTCGTGCCCCGGTCCAGGAAGATCCCACATGCCGCGGAGCGGCTGGGCCCGTGAGCCATGGCCGCTGAGCCTGCGCTCTGTGCGCCGCAACGGGAGAGGTCACAACAGTGAGAGGCCCGCGTACCGCAAAAAAAAGAAGTCCAGCAAAGTTCTGATGTTTCTTAAGATATTTATTTCCATACTTTAAAAAAATATATATCAAAAAACAAATCTTTATTATAAGAAAATTTTGGTGACCCTGCTTCATTAATCCCCTAAATATGGATTTAGCCTATGTATTAACTGATCTTGGTGGCCAAGCACCTCTCACCTTCGGTGATGTATGCCTGGTTCCCCCCCTTCCCCCAGAGGCCCAGTATTGTCTCATGGCCACCCATCCAGCTTACTCTCTGTTTTTATAAAAATGTAGTCTCCGCTTGTATCCACTTCATGGAGTCAATATGCATACTACTAAGTGGATTTTTTTTTTTTTTAAATACAATCCTGGAAATAAATACTACAGAAATGCCAAGTATTGTTCTTAAAATTGACCGGCTTCTGAGGTTAGTAAATGACTCTCTGGGAATAAATGGTTCAACCCTGTAAGATGAATAAAGTAAAGGACATTCCAGGACTCTGTAACCAACGTTCTTCTGGTAAATTACAGGGTGGCTTGAGAGAATTACATTGTTTTATACGATTAAGAAATTAATTCCCAGAAAACAACTTTTTAAATTTCACAAAGAGTGAAATTAAGTGACAAAGAAGTCAAGCATCTAGTATAGCTGTCAGGGCTGACATTGATACTTTTATCACCCAGCCACAAGAGGCTCAAAATGGGCACCTCCAAATACGCCTTTTCTCATTTTCCCCCAAAGTACTCCACGGTTTGAAATATTTTGTCTATGAAACTGTTTTAATTTGGCAATAATTATTTCGTTTTTCCTTTTCCTTCTTTATTAACTACAATCACTTAGACCTTATTGTCAACAAGGTGTTAACAATTTTATTTCACTGAGCTGATATAACTGAAGTTAAAAGTTTGACATTTTTGGCAATCTGCATAAGGCAATTTATTTTATTAATTTATTAGTATATCAAGGCTAAATATTTTATTTCTACTAGACATATGTATAATGGGCTTATAAATATATACATATCTATATATTAAGCCATTTACTATATTGAAATATGTATGATAATATAAGATAGCTTTTAAATATATCAGAAAAATAACTTACAGACCATGATTCCCTATCTTACCATGTCTCTGGGGCAAGAAACTGCTTTCAACTCAATCTTCTCTTTTCATAGAGGAGAATAAGTCCTAGAGTGATTACTGCCTTCTCCAAAATCAAACAGCCATTAAAAATGGAATTTTCCTTTGTCCATAAAACTTCTGCAACCAATCCCATCTACTTTCTATGGTCTCTAAATAAGCTCTTACTTTAAAAGCAAGGAACTCACAAGAAAATTGTTCCTATCAAACGACTGTCTTTCAGATCACCTCTTGTCTCTGCTGTCCCTGGCCATTCCAGGAATAATTATTTGTCCCACAGTATAGCTTGCTTTGTATCTATTCCTTCCTCCATTTTACCATTGCATTATGCCAATCATACACACTTTGTTCTGCCCCTCCCTCTGGGGTTATGGGCTTTCTGATCTCTTTACCTTCAGCACTTACTGTACTTAGTTCCATAAGTGTTGACTTGGGATGGAAGCAGTTGGACTGAACTGGACAAAGTGTTTTGTTTTCTTTTCTTTAAATCCCTTCATATGCCAATAATTCCCAAATTAATATGTCAGGACTGACTTTCCCCCTATACTCTATACTGGGACTATCTACTTAACCTTGACTAGGGTATCCGAAAGGCATCCCAAACTCCCAATATCCAGCTAAATGCTTGACTAGCACCACATCTAAATATAATTCTTCCCATTCCAACAAATAACTAGGATACTAGAACTCAGCCGCCCTCTTTCCCTCACATGCCAATCCATGGGTATATTCTATAGACCTACCTCCAAAATATTTCCTAGAAGCATTTTTCCTTCAGCCTCACCCTAGACAAGCCATTGTTCTTTCTTTCCTGAATTTTATTAGCCTGCTAGCGAATTTCTGCTTCTGCTCTTGATCCTATAAAATCCCTTCCCAGCAGAGCTACCAGCATGATCTTATACAGACTACATTTGATCATGCCACTCCTCTGGAAAGCTTCTAACGGTTTATCATCCCACTCGAAATGACATCCAAGATCATCTCTAGTCTACGCAGCCCAACATTGTCTGCTCAGAACCTCATCTCACACCACCTTCTCCCTCACTCGCTGATTCCCTGTCACCCACTCTTCTTCGTTTCTCAGTCACAACCAGCTAGTTCTTGCTTTGGGGTCTTTCCCTCGGTTGTTCCTTCTGCCTAAAATCTTCTTCCCCAGATCTCTGCCTGGATGGCTTTTCCTTGTCATTAATTTTCAGCCTGAACATCACTTAGTTCAAGAGGCCTCTACTGACCATACAATGAAAATACCCCCTTAGCGTCTATTAAGTAATTAATTAATTTTGTTTATGATGGCTCTTATAACGACCGAAGATAGTCTTGTTAATGTATTTTTGTGCGCGTTTATGTGTTTACTTTGTGGCTCTCCTCACTGGAATGTAAAGTCTGACTTGTTTAAAGCTTTGCTTCCTGCCTGGACTAGTGCAGGCTCATAAGGTGCTTCATAAATAGCTGTTGCTCAGCGCTGTTCAGTTTACCTTCCTGCCGTGGCTGTTGACAAGTGCAAGATGAATGAAGTCCTGTGCCTCAGAGTCTACCTGAAAACCATTTGTCATCTAGGGTCAAAAGATCTCATCTCTTTTCCACCCT